CTTGAGTGTGCAATCAGTAGATGTGTGAAAGGACATCAAAGCTACAAGATAGCTCTGTATGAAATGCGTAACTGCCTCTGACATCATCGAACGAAGCATGACACATGGATAATTCAGGCTCCAAAAGTCATCATGCAACATCCTTCAAAACCCCATATATCTCACATAAAAGAGTCCAATCAAACAATCTAACCTTTTAATGCACTTCTAAACTTTCCTGCTATCGAATCAAGCCGTCCAATACTTCGTTTAAGCCATGATGGCCACCAAAACCACGCGAAAGGAGCATCCACCTGAAATTCGCGCTCACGTCAACATGAAGTTCGCCGAGGGCCTCTCCATGGGCAAAATTGCGGGGGAACTTAAACTCTCCCGAGCAACTGTGCAGTCTATGATCGTAGCGCACAAAAAGGCTGGTCTTCTCGTGACTCCGCCTCGTTCTGGACGACAAAGAGTGACGACACCCCAAGAGGACCGCATCATTGTCCGTGAAGCAAGACCGACGAGTTAGTACCGAAGAAATTCGAGAGTCCTTCGAAGTGTTCCATGACAAAAACATTTCTTCCCAAACCATCCGACGTCGTATCCATGAATCCGGTTTGCATGGACGTGTCGCTCGGAAGAAGCCCTTCATATCGAAGAAGAACAAGGCCAAGCGGCTCGTCCATGCAAAACGGCTTCAAGGAAGATCGATGGAGGCCTGGAAGAAATTTCTTTGGGCGGATGAGAGCCCTTTCAATCTGGCGGGATCAAACGGTCACATTTTTGTGTGGAGACGTCCCGGGGAAGAGTTCGACGAAAAGTGCCTCTTGCCAACATTCAAGAGTGGGCGCCAAACCGTTATGGTCTGGGGGCCATTGGGTACAATGGCGTTGGTACTCTGGTGTTTTGCGAAGGCAAGATGAAGTCGAAAGACTACCTTGACATCGTCGAGGCCAATTTGGCCGAGAATTTTGTTAAACTTGGGCTCCCGATCAACTTTGAGTTCATGCAGGACAATGCGCCAATTCATACTACGAAGAGTGTGAAGACGTTTTTTACTTGAACGCTTTCAACTTGCTTCCTCACCCCCCCAAACCCCCGACCTCAATCCCATTGAACATGTGTGGGAGTGCATCAAACGCGCAAGAACCCGCCGTCATCGATTGAAGGCTTGAAGGAGCAAATCGTCAAGATTTGGGACAATATTCCTACTTCTTACATCCGGGGTCTCATTGATTCGATGCCTAAACGTCTTGGTATGGTCATTGAAAAATCTGGAGGACCAACGAAGTACTAAGAGCCTAGATAAACTCAAAATACCTCAAGTGTAGGGTGACTTTTGGTTTATAGGTTTTTCG